CGATTGCGTTGCGAGGCGCAGGTGGGTAGGTGTAATTTGGCTTTATCTCAGCATTGCCGCGCTTCTTTTCTTCAGGCTTTGACTTGCTTTCTTTCTTTGTGTTATGTTAACAATTTCAGAAATGGGCAGCGAGTGCGTCAGAGAGGTTCCTACTGTTTTTACCGAAATGTTAGTTGACTGCGACGTAGCAGCGCAACAGCGCCCACCTTTGATCGGCCGATGTTTATGAAGTGTAGAGATACCTAAAGAAATTACACGAGGACTTGCTTGTAGATGTTTTTTCGACATACGATAAAATAATGTCTATCTAGGATGGAGTTGATGATGCATTTTATGGGGTAGAAATGTATTGGGTTGGTGAATAAGTTCGTTTTTCATCAAGTTTTATTGGAAAAAACACTAATAATGAAAAAAAATTAGTCAATCTTTTCCATTATTGTTATTTACGACCTCTCGACCAATCTATAATGCCAAATATCGGCCGGTCTGATGTCGAAGAAGGTAAGCCATTTTTCGAGGTGCTCGTCGTTGTTAAACGTAGGACCTTATTTGATTCGACAGAAAGCGGGAAAGGTGGTGTTCAGTTGATGCAAGATCGGAGAGTATGATGGATGTTGCAGAACCTCCCATTTAAGCTCTTGGGCAGCTTTAACAACTTGTGCAACATGCGGCCTGGCATTGTCGTGCAGCAGTATGGTTTGGCCTTTTTGACTGGGTCTTTCTAGCAGCATTGCCTCATTAAATGCACATGCTCAATATAGAGTTCTTTGTTACTATAGTATTCTTCTTCAGAAATTTCCAGTGAACCATGCTTTCCCAGTCCCACCAAACGCAGATCATGGACTTCTTTGAATTTAATTCCTGCTTGACTTCCAGCTTTGGCATATGTTCTGGGGGCCACGCACACTTTTCTTTGCTTTATACTATATATAGACACCATTTCTCAAGTCCCGTGACGATTCGGTACAGAAAACGTTGCTTGGGCCCACGTGTTGCTTGGTAAGGGGCGAAATGTTGAGAAGCGGTTTAAAGGCGATTTCCTCTGTAGTTTTCGGTAGTTCATGAACCAAAGAATCTCCTGATTTCCCGGCAAATTTCATCGAGTGGGGATGATTGAAAGTAGTCTGATAATCGCAGTGCGTTTTTGCGGCCAACACAAGACTTGTTTGTGCGACCATTAGCGTCCTCCTTCAGCGTCTCAAGAAGCTCCTTGTCGTAGTCTGAAGCTCTTCCGGTGCGAGGTGTCATCGAGATCAAAGCTGCCACTTTGAATTTCAAAAACCATTCCCATGCAGTAGATTCACCTGTGGAACTTTCTCCACATGCGCCGCGAATGTGGGCGGCTTCAGTAGCGTTGTTTCCTATGAAAGGGAAAAAAGCAGGTT